TTACTTATATATATATATATATATATATATATATATATATATATATGTATACTAAACATGACACATTCCATGTATATGACGAGTCGAGAAAGAGAACATTATGTAACACCTATTTTAAATTGCTTCTTTCTTTAAAAATTATGTCTATATCATACACAAAATTTATGATACAACGAATTTTTATATAAAACATAATTTGATAAATTTTAAAATTCTCACGCTTGTTCAACATACTGCAATATAATGAGAGGAAATAGATTATCTGACTCATGCTTACATTCATTATCGCAGAACATGGGTGAGAAAAGCGCTCGAGGACTTCAAGTACACTGCCGGTAATTTTTACGTCAACGATAAATCCACCGGGTCGGTGGTCGGCCAGCAACCATTTGGTGGCAGTCGAATGTCTGGTACAAATGACAAAGCCGGCGGTCCTCATTACATTCTTCGCTGGACGTCCCCGCAATCCATTAAGGAGAACTTCGCGCCCCTACGGGAATATGACTATCCATACATGCGATCCTAAGCAGGTCGCATCGCGGGCCGCTCGTTGTTAATTCGGTGTGATTAATCCAATAATTTCGGTTGCCCGATAGTCATGCGTCGCAAATCGAGAAACGCTTTTATTTATATTTGATCGGAAAAGAAACGTGCCGGAGCGATATTATCACACCCCACTGCTTTAATTCAATGAGCAAGATTCAGTCCGCCATTCAAATGAGATATAGAAATTCATAGAACATTAATGGACTTACGAGAATGTCACTTTTACATTATGTTGTCCCGCGTAATTCAAAATCATAACAGAAAAGACGCTCGAAGAGTTGTAATTTTGATTGTAGGAGCAAACACTATGACAAATGTGTGAGATATGTTTTCTAAGATGAAACTTTGCCGAATCAGATTCTTGTCTCACGGATAATTTTTTTAATTTGTTTCCCATAAATGAGATTTTTAACGAGAATATAATTGAATAGATCAACATAAAATCAAGTGAAAAAAAATGAAATGTATACTGTGCGATAAGGTCGAGTTGTCATCATGCAGAACTTGAGAAAACGATTTCGCTTAGGAGTTTCTCTCGATAAGAAGCACAGTAAGCTCGCGAGCGCAACTTTTTTTGCGATGCACAATAGAGACACGACTAGATTTTTAGATGGATTAACGCTAAGGGAGAGGAGGTCAGACTTGCAAGTCGCAACAAATAAACACTTAATTGCTCTCGAATGTACCGCCGAACGTCGCCTCGTGATGGACAAAGGAATTCCAGTGCGATAATCCTCCCGTGATCGATCCCGTTAGCCGCGGACGTTGTTTTGTGAGTGTCCAATCATGTCTTGATCATTTGCCGCCAGTTCATTACCAAAGTATTATCTGATGCATTTCGGAGAAAAACTTGTTATCTCTTTACCATGTATGTCCGATTTATTCTCTCTCTCTCTCTC